TATATATATATATATATATATATATATATATATATATATATATATATATATATATATATATATATATATATATATATATATATATATATATATATATATATATATGTATATATATATATATATATATATATATATATATATATGTATACTACAAAATATATGCACAAAAAATAAATGTTAAATGAAATATTTATGGTGTATTAGGGTACTGGTCACTTCAGACACAAAGACGGGCTATAAATAGCCTTCTTTATCTCCCCTCCATCTCACCCTGAGCCAGAGGGAAGGGTGGTGGTAAATAACATTTGTTTGCTTATTTTCCATTTACTTGAAATAGATTTACCGAATTATTTGTTTATTTATTTAAAAGTCATTTAATGAATATTCTATGTAAAAAATAAATTTTAAATTAATTATTTATAGGAGATAAGTATTATGATCAGTAAATATATGGTATTACTGGCCACTTCAGACACAAAGACGGGATAAAAATAGCCCATCTCCCCCTCTTCTTACAGCTGCCAATGGGAAGCGTCTTGGTAATTAAATTTGATGTTTATTTTCATTGTCTAATTTATCATGTATCAAAGTAATATTACTAAAAATTGTGTAGGTAGCAGGCAGCTACCAAACAGGTAGATACTACCGCCTGGGAAGATATTGGAAGCATAATGTGTTGTCTAATGGTACACCCTGCTGCCATATGGCATCACGAAAATTGTGACCAAGTCCCAGGTTCAGCGCTGACCTGACTTTCTGCCTCATTTACACACAATTGCAGTTTGAATTGTTCCTCTAACTTTGACAACACAACATACATACAGTATATTATTTCTCACTTTTGATCTTTTTTTTACTTTTTGTATTTATTTATGGTTAGTTACTTAAAATAAGGCCAATTCACTTCAAGTAATGGCATCAAATGTTACCAGCTGGTGTAGTGTAAACACTAGTGACGTCACTTAAGCGTCTGTATTTAACTGTCGGTAGTTTCAAGAATTAATGCAGTCATTTACTGAATATTCCTTGTAAAAAAATAAATTTTAAATTAATTATTTATAGGAGATAAGTATTATTATCAGTAAATATACCGATATGCATTACTGACCACCTCCACGGCTAAAAATAGCCCAATCTCGCGGTCACTTTTCCTTTCTTGTCTCCTCACTGGCAAATGGGGGGGGGCGTGGGGAGGGGTGTGTGATGATAGCTGTGTTTATTACAGGGGTATAATTCTCTTTTACGTTATGTTAGACAGGTTTATAATACATTTTTATTATTTTAATATACCGGTAATCTTAATTTGAATCCAGCTTGCCAAACGTAAGTTTCAGTATAAAATAATTAGTGGTAAGACCTTGTGAGTGGCTTACGATGTTTCCATCACCACTCTTGACACACTAAACCACAATATTTAAGAGGTAAGAATTTTATACTTGGTGGTTTAGACGACCCCCTAACTTTGGGCAGATTTTTTTAATGTTCAAATTCCGTCTTATAAGCCGAGATATACGGTATTCGTGATGTAGTGAAAGGAACAACACCTATAAAGGGAACTATAATTTCAAAGAAAGACAAGGTCCTATTCACGATATGGAAAAATTATTGGTGATATGGATAGAAGACCAGATACAGGCTAAAGCAAGAAGCCTGTTCCAAAGCCTGAAGGAGCAGGCAGGAGATGAATGTGATTAAACCTTTACAGGAAGTCATGGGTGGTTTGATAGATTTAAAAAACGCTACAGTCTACCCAATGTTAAGGTGAGTGGAGAGGCAGCTAGTGCCGATGTTGGTGCTGCCGAGTCTTTGAAGGAGGAGTTAGATGAAGTGATTGTGGAAGGGAATTATTTGCCTGAGCAAATATTCAATGTGGCTGAGACTGGATTATTGTGGAGCGCATGCCTGAGCAGACATACAGTTTCAAAGGAGTTAATGAAAATGAAGTTATTTCGGATATTAGTAACAAGATGGTGGAGTTAGGTAAACAGCTGGAGTTAGAAATTGATAATGAAGATGTTGAACAGTTGGTTGAAAGTGTAGCAGAAGGGCTCAGTAACGAGCATGTTATTAAACTAGATGCACAGAAAATTGCAGAGGAAGAAGAGAGACAAAATGTAGAAGAAGAACCTGCACCCCCCAAAAAGTTTTCAGTGAAACAAATGGCAGAGGCATTTGCTACAATTAATAAAGGAATGCAAATGTTTGATGACATGGATCAAAATTCTGAGCGTTATGCCAAAGTTGACAGAATGATCCAAGATGCACTTGATTGCTACAGAGAAATTTATAATGAAAAGAAAAAGCAAACTGTGCAGTCTAAATTGGACATCTATTTTAAGAAGTCCCCAGTGCTGCCTCTTCACTCCCTCAAGATGATCCAATCCCTTCAACCAGCAAGGTTCCACAGTACATAAACCTGTCTGAAGAAAGCGACATTGATGACCCACCCAGCCCTGTCTCCTCCTCTGCTTCATCCAATTAATATAGTCTCCATGTATCCTGTAAATAGAAAATTATGGGGGCCCCGTGTGCATTTAGCTGACTACATTAAAGGTAAGTGCTCAATCACACTGTATCCATTCCTCATTATTTATTACTTTTACTGTACTGTCGTTTTTTTTTTTTATTTAATTATTTATTTTATTTTATTTTATTTATTTATTTTTTCTATGTCGGACTTACGACCTGGATTTGGGTCCCTAACCCCGTCGTAAGTCGGGGAGCACCTGTATCAAGAAGGTTGTGTTT